AAATAATGATATGATCATTGTCTTGCTCACTTTCTCATTGCTAGGATGAAATATGTAATACCTGCAATTTAAAGATGAAAAAGTTTATTTTATTGAAGCTTTCTCAGTGAGATCAAGTAAAAGTGAAAGATGCCTCTCCTTTTTGCAACATGATATTGGAAGCATTAGCTACTTATATAAGACAAGAAAAGGAAATAAATGATCTACAGATTGGAAAGAAGGATCACAGAAGACATGATAATATAGATAAAAAGGCTTAATGTTATCAAGAAAATAGTTCTTCTCAACATTATGCCTAGATTCAGTGTAATCCCAATAAAGTCTCACAAGTCAGTTTGTTGATCTTGTTAAACCAATTCTAAAGATTATAGTGAAAGACAAAAGATTTTGTGTAGTCAAAACAATACTGAAGGACAGAACAAAGTGGAAAAACTGACATAATCTGACTTCAGTGTTTACTATGTTCTATAGAAACGAAGACAGCAAGATACGGGTAGAAGAATAGAAAGATTGATCAGTGGAACAGGACAGAGATTCTAGAAATTGGCACACATAAATATGGTCCAACTGGTCTTTGATAAAGGGGCAAAGGCAGTTCCAAGGAGAAAAGACCACCTGATCAACAGTGGTGCGAGAACAACTGGATGCCGCATGCAACATGAGGAAGTAGGAGGTGGGCTTTCCATCCCCACAAAAATTAACTTGGAATGCTCTCTTGTCCTAAATGGAAAACTGAAAACTAAAACCCTCCTGGAAGGTAACAAAGGAAATAATCTAGATGGTCGAGGGTTTGGCCATGCCATTTTAGATACAGAAGTAAAAGTAAAATCCACGGAAGAAAGAATTCCTAAATTATAACAAATGTATCACTGTTGTGGGGAATGTCAATACAGCTGTGCATCGGTGGGGGTAGAGTATACAGGAACCTCTAAGTCTCCTACACAATTTTGATGTGAAATTAAATTAGTATAATAAGAAAGTCTAGTTTAAGAAATAATTCACCTACATGCACATAAAGAAACAGAACTGTATTGATCAATTGTTGGTCCATCAACAAATTGATGTGATTTGATTTATATAGATTATACTTACAATTCTGCTTCTCAGCTGAATTTATACCTAGCACTTTCATATACCTAGTACAATAGCACCCTGAATGAAAAGAATTTTACCTGTATGGATTCTCCCATCACCAATTAAATTGGAATTATTTCTTCTCAAAGGGACAGAATTTTACAAACCAATAGGAGTGAACTAGTAAGGTCAGTGAAAACAGTATACTCATTAATTCTATAAATCTATCTACCAGTCAAGCAATCCTTCATTAGTTGCCATTATTTACATGCATATTATTTATTGTTTTTTAACTCTAACTTGTTGTTCAACCACCTTCCCTTGCCTTGGCAATATCTGTTGCTGGAGTTAAATAGTACATATGGAGAACTCATTCACTTATTCACTATAAGGCTTTATACTTTTGATTAACCCTTAACTTTTGTGGCCTCATTATAACCCCAATCTTGAGAGTCATACAGATGGACTACACAGTAGCCTATTACTCTTTTGGCGCCAGTAACCACATTCCTTAAAATGAGTTCTAACAAAGACCCTTTAACACATATTGGGGTCCATCGTACTGTAGGTCATTAGGGCCACTGGAAGTACTCACAATAAGATGGCAAACTCTATATTTCTTTTACTGATGGCAATTAAACTTTGCATGAAAATTTTCCTTTGCTCTATCTACTGCCATTCTGCTTGTAGGATCTGCTTTCTCAACCCCAACATCAGCTCCGCAATGTCTCCTGTTTGGGCACTATGCTAGACAGCAAATGCACCTGCATTCTCTGAACCTACCATGGCCAGAGCCTAGCAGAACACATTCTCTGGCCATGAGCTTAAGTGCTCACTTCCTCAAAATGACTACAGATGTTCATACTCTCCACTCTTTCTTGCTCTCACTAGTGAATGAAGAAAGTGCAAACTGCTTCTCAGCCCTAAACAATATACTCTTCTGCACAAACTGGGCCATGGCTTTCTGTAATTTGTGCCCCATGACTTAGCTTTCTTCTCTTTTTCCACCAACTAAATTCTCTGCTTGCCTCTCTGACATTGTTCATCCATCCATCCATCCACCAATAGCCCCTCTGCATTTTCAGTCTTTTCTTGACTTCTTTCTTCCTTTTATTATGATTGAGACTTGAATTTTGCCTGAAAAGTCCAATTCTCTTCTACCTTTTTCAAGAACTTTAAAAAATGTCTCTTATCCTCAAATTTGGGATCAATCAAGAGGATACACTTGTCTCCTAAAGAAATCTTTTTCTTGTCTCATGAAAAATGATGCCCTTTTCAAGCTTGTGCTATTCTTACTGAGACAGAGATTACTGAAAATCCATTTTTTCTTCTATCCCAGAGTTACTAAGTTTCATGGCCCAGCCTCTCTTCCTATAAGACATGGTTCTGTGATTTAAGTCAAGCTAACAGAATGTTAACAAAAGTGGAATGAACCCTTTTAGGCCAAGTATGTCAAGGACTGGGGACACAGCTGCTATGTTCACTTTGCTTATCTGCTAACTAGGTGCAGTTGATGAGGCATGCTTGGTGACATGAAAGTCACAAGATCAAAAGAGCTTGTATCCCTGATTTGCTAGTTGTATGAAGAGTAGTTATTTTCTGACCACAAACATGTACTAAGACAGGGAAAGACAGGAGCAGAAAAAAATTGCCATTGAGTTTGTCATTACTAAGAGATCTATTGTTTTGATGCAACAGGTATTGACCTTATGTGAAACTCTTTTCACTGCCATTTATCAGACAGTGACATAGTCTAACTCTTTAATTAGAGACTTTAACATATAAATGTTTTTCCTCTATCCCTACCCTACACCATCATGAGTAACTGTAGCATATACTAAGATGACTTGTGCGCATGCAAGTCCTTCACCTCTCACTTCAAATTGTTTACTCCTCCAGTTCAATTTTGTTATGCATTCCTACAAGCACTCTTTGAAAACTGTCATATCCTATAATGCTATCTTCTTCAAAATCAATTAAACTGTTATATCACTACAATTTTCTCTCCATGTCTGACATGGTGGCGCACGCCTATAATCCCAGCACTAGGGAGGCTGAGGCAGGAGGATCACTGGGAGTTCAAGACCAGCCTGGCTACAAAGTGAGTTCCAGGTCAATCTCAACAACATAGTGAGACCCTGTCTCAAAAAAAAAAAAAAAAAAATTATCCATGGCACCAACTTGTTCAAATATTTTCATGACTAATATTTGACTTTATATTTTCTTCCACACCTACCTTACATTCCATGGTGCTTCATTTGAATACCATCCTAACTTTCAAATATTTTCATGACTAATATTTGACTTTATATTTTCTTCCACACCTACCTTACATTCCATGGTGCTTCATTTGAATACCATCCTAGCTTTCATTGTCCTTCTGCATTTTAATCACATTTACCTAGCAAAACTTCAGACCTGCCGGAGATGAGCTGCCTGCCTTTTCAATGATGTAATACCAGATACAAATCCCAGAAAACGTACAACAGAGGAATCCAGGATGAAAATGCAATTTCTGATCTCTTATTAACCCTCAAGACTTCCAGCAATACAGCAAACAACTTGACACCTCTCAAGCAAGTCACCTAAAACTAATTTTTACACCAAATCTAATAAACATCTCCAAAACTGTTCTTTTATTGATATTTTATTTTCAGTCATTAGTCCAACTCATTTAAATATACAAACAATAAAACAATAATTTTTCCTTTATAAACTTTAACAACAATTTCCTTCAAATAGTTTCAATTTTACCTTCTAAATATCAACCAATCTCTCTTCATAATTTCTACCATCAAAGCAGTCCAAACTAACATCAGATTGCCTAGAAAAGGTCTTAAGACACTTCCAATTTTATATAAGTTCTATGACTCAATTTTTTATCTGTAAGCTTAGTAAAACTAAAACTTTATTTGCCTACTTTTATTAATTCACTTCTACCATTGTGCATTTTTCTTTGTTAATAGTGACTTGATAATATTCACTGAAATGGATGAAATGAATATAATAAATATACAAGTATTAACATAAATAGCATATACATATATGAAGATAGTATTCATATCAGTGCCTATAAGGGAAAAAAATGTGAAGATCCACAAAAGCCAAACAATCAGAGCCTGAATAATTTGGATTCAAATTGAAATCTTTTTCATTTTTGTAGATCGTACTCCTGAGTACCTTTCCATGTCTGAACTGTGACACATTCTAAATCTTAAGAAATACTCTTCTGTCACTTAGTTTATGATAAACTAAGTTATAAACACAGTTACTTGTAATTTATAATGCAATTATCTTTGAATACAGAAAATAGTACCCCAGAAGTACTCTAACGCTTTAAAAAAGTATCATCCACCGAAGACTCTTTAAAAACAAATAATAAATTTTGTAAATAGAAATGCTTACAAGCCCACACTCCAAATTAATATCAATGCCAAAATGTTTCCAAAGTAGCCATCATGCAAAAAAAAAAAAAAGAAAAAGAAAGAAAGAAAAAAGAGAGAAATTAGAACAGGAAAACACAAAAACTGACATTTAAGAATCACTGCTTTCTATTATTTTAAGTGTTTGTCATGTTGTAGATATTGTGCTAAGCAATTTATAAGTGCAGTAAAATAGGAACTATTATTATCCCTATTTTACAGATCAAAAAATTGAGAATTAGAGGAAACAATCAAAGCCAGAAGCCAAATCCAACTTCTGTAGGCTTGCAGAAGTACATAACATAAATTGCTTTCTAAATAAGTAGTTAAGTCTCTCATTTTAAGCCATTACTTAGTGAAAATGGACTAAAATATTTTTTTACTACTAATGGCATGTGATATTGAGACATTTCAATTATAATCAGATGGGGACAAAGAACAACAGGTACATTATAACACTGAGCTTTAGCAGGATGTTTAAAGGAGAAAGTTTTTTAGTCTTACCCATGAATTCAATCCCCAAATGGTCTGCTACATCGAAGTCAGCAAGCAAAGGTGAGAAACAAAAAAAGAAAAAAAAGATTAGAAAATAATCACATAAGGAAATCAATGAACACTTCTCGATTTTATCCATGTGTGCTTGAGAAATCTAACCTAAAGACTGCAAATAATATCAGTGCTCTCAGCGTAGATCAGTATTTCCCTCAAACCTCTGAACCATAGCTTGGTTCATAGCTCAGAATGTTGGATGGAATAAAAAAGCATATATTATGAAGTATTCTAAATATAAACTTAAACCAAAAGAGAAATATAGGCAGAGAGTCACACACACAGAGGCAGAAACCGTGGATGCAAAGTGATTTGCAGAATCTATCACATTCTGTGTAGATTAACACCTCATTGAACATAAACTTATTCAGAGCTCAGTTAACAAGAATGACTTACACCTAATAACGTTATGACAGGCCCTAACCAGCTGATCCTCATGTTTACTAAAAAAAAAAAAAAAAGGTGTGATACATTTTCTTTCCTTTCATTTGCTACATGAGAAAAGTTTGCATTGGCAAGACTAAAAACCTTGTATCAGTCACAGAACGTCAGGTAGACCTAGGGCACAAATCAATGCCTTCAGGCCCCACAACTTCTGGCTTGACAGTCCATCCTATCAAAAACAAATGTTGACATAGGTCACTCTGTTCTAAGTACACATGGGAAGCCAACTGTCTTGGAGCTAATGTCCTTTGCCTGTGGAGAGCAGAGTAGTTAATTTTCTGTGTTACCTTCCAGGCATTCAGCCTTACAGGTTGTTTATTTAAATGGTGCTTTCTTTCTTTTAATCCTTCAGTTATATAGCTATCACTTTTTCAAATTCATCACATTATTCAATGATGTTTTCTATTTCAATATTTTCCTGAAATGAAAATACATGGGGAATAACACATTGCTCTAACCATATTTATTTTGAAGACCAATTACCAAGCTGACTTTTAATTCTTTATTTAGCAAACAAGCATTTCCTTTTACATAACATACACTTACTTACCATCACTATGTTAATAATTTGTTTGTAGACAGTTCATTTTTTAAATTTTTGTGTGCTAAAATACATATAGAATGAAATTTAACATTTTAACCATTTTAAGTATATAATGCAATGGTAACAATTAGATTTACAAGGTTATACTATCACTACTGTTGTATCTTTTTCTTCATCTCAGTCAATAACTTTGCATTTTTATATCCCCCATGTTTCCTCCCCACAGCCCTTGGTATATTCTGTCCCTATACAATCAATTTATCTGTATGTTGTCGATTTTTTTAGTGATTACAAACTTTTAATTGATGACTATATACTTTTACAAACAAAGATGGCTACAATATTTTTTTTTGGTATTTATACACGTGTGTCCTATTTATTTCACTTTAGAGTATCCATTCAATGTGCATCCATTTAGCTATAAAGGTCTCTAATATCTCATACTTTTTGTCTGAGTGGTACTCCATTTTATAAAAGCAACTTTGTCCAGTCTTCAGTTAATGGGAAATTGTGCTTTTCCAAGTTTTAGCTATTACAAATTGTGCTGCTATGAACATGGGTACACATATATATTTGAGGTATGATTCTTTGAATTCTTTGGGGAAGATACTCAGCAGGGGAATAGCTGGGTCAAATGGGACCTCTAATCCTAGATACTTGAGGACCTCTAATCCTTATTTCCACAGTGGTTGCACCAGTCTATACTACCACAAGCAGTGGAGCAGGGTTCCTCTTTCCGAACAACCCCCGCAGCCTTTGTTATTGGTTGATTTCATGATAGCAGCCACCATTCTTTGTGTTGTGAAGTGGAATCTCAACATTGTTTTCAAGAAGTAGAGGCATTCATTTCTTGGCATGACATTTTTTGACCACTTGCTGTATACTATTGTGTATTATGATAGATATCTGAAACATTTTCAGCAAAAGACAGGTTTCCTATTCTCAATGAGCTCAGGAACCAGTGGGAAACTACCGAGCAAAAGCCCTGGTCATTCTTTATAATAAGTGCTGTAATAGAAAGGCAGAAAACATTCTTTGGCTAGAGGAGTTGGGACAGAATATGCCATACAAAACACTAGGATTTGTGAAAAAATGGACAAGACTATCTTTGCATTCTTGTGCAATTGGAAGCTTCATGACAGTGTACTTCTAAAACACTGAAGAGTACAAGAGTTGTGGTATTTAAAATAACGATTTGAAGCCGGTTGTGGTTGCTCATGCCTGTAATCCCAGCACTCCAAAGTGAGGAAGGAGGATCGCTGTGAGTTCGAGACCAGCCTTGGCTACATAGTGAGTTCCAGGTCAGTCTCAAGTACATAGTGAGACCCTGTCTCAAAAAATCAAAACATAAAAAATAAAATAACGATTTGGGTGAGGTTAATTTTCCTGAGACTAAAGATAAGGCAAAATAAAAGACTCATGCATCCATGACTTTTGCTCTTTCCTTTCTATATAGGACAATACTATAGGTAGTGTAATTAAGGCTACTGGACACTTTCTGTCTATTCTCTTGAACACAGGCAATGATTCGGGACCAACCCCCTGATCTTTATTCTAATACTATAGGTAGGTAAGTCAGATATAAATTAATATACAGTCAGAGAGGGATTGAGATATTCTCAAGGAAGTCAGCAGAAAAATAAAGACATTATAATTGTTGCTGGAGTCATCTGAAGAAGGTCCGGCCTCAAGACAGAGATACAATGGCCATGCCTGCTTGCCTCTCTAAGGGATAAGCAGTAGTTTGAGACTATCTTGTAATTAGCATCACTGGTCTAGTAAGTCCTGATGGGCAACAGTCACCCAGATGGGTGACCAGAGTATCTGTATCATTCCTTCCCTAGAATGCCTTTACTCTTTCAATCCACCCCTTCTACATGTCTCATTTCCCTATTGGATCCATATTTGTTAAGCAGCTACATTTGTAATCCTACAGTTGGATGGTAGTTAGAGCCAAGTTCTACCCATATCATGACTTTGCTGTATAACTTACCTCTGACAAAGGGCCTCATTAGCCACCTCATTCAGGATACCTCTTGTCTCTTAGGAGCTATCTCTTAATAAAACTTTCCATCTTTTAATCTCCATTGTCCCTTGATATTCATTCTACAATATTTGGGGGACATGAGCTCAACACATCTGATATTTAGAAGGTTGGGAGTTGTATTTCTCCTCTATCACTAAAGCCTGCTATGTGAGGTAGAAATTAGCTGTGTGCCAGAGCCACCTGCATAACCTACAGTAACATTTTCTCACTTGGAGCTCATTAAAGGTTCATGCATCTGAACTGCATCTTGTATGTCCACATGCAAATTCTGGGAAAGGACATGCAAGGCAGACACAGCTGTCACTCACTCTGACAGTCACACTCCCTAGACCCTGCACACTTTCAACTCTTAAACCCACCACCTTCAGCTCTCCTGCCATTTTTCTTTCTACCAGAGCAAGCCTCTCACTTGGAGCATAGCATTTCCCAATCAGACTTCATGAAATTTTTCTGCTTTTTTTCCTTCCCATCAGGTACACTATCAACTTTGTCATACACAAGAACCTAGAAATCCATCCTGAATCCCATCACTCGTGCCAATGAATCTGGAGACTGTGCTAAGAAGTGAGTAGCATGTTTGAAAAACTAGAGGCCAGTCTGAGTACAACTGAGGTTTCGTAAAAGCAATGAAGAAGACAATTGGTGACAAGGAAAATCATAATTTAAAAAATAGAAACTACAGCGTCAGGACAGGAGCAGTTTAATTTTCTATTTTCCCAAGACAAGATAAGGCTGGGCAATTCCCTTTCACCTACGAATGAGATTTGGCCATTCCCATTTACCTGAAGATATGCCTCTTTCACTTGTGAACAGACCATATCTTTCACCTATGAAATGGGCCTTTCCCTAGGGGTGGGCTACAGCTACCTGTGATGGCTGCTACCTTTAAAAGGGCCATGGCTCTTCCTCACAGAACAGCTGTCATCTTTGAGTCTTCCTTATGTATACTGAATGCCTTCTTCCCTCAGCTTCACAGGTTCTATAGATTTTCATCCCCAAATCTCCCATAAATACACCCAGCCCCAGACTATGGTGCATCTCTCTTGCAGTTTCTCTCTCTCTCTCTCTCTCTCTCTCTCTCTCTCTCTTTGAGTGTGTACATTACCACTTTTGTACTCTTTCTTTGAGAGTGTTACATCACTACTTTGGGACCCTCCTAGAACCTGGTCCGATGACACAGCCACAGTGAATTTATGACCACTATCGGAGGCAGAAACTGGAACTGACAAGTACTCAAACAATGAAAGGTAAAAGTAGAAATCTTGAGAAAAAAAAAATCCATCTTCTCTTAACATAAGTTACATCTAATTATTGGAACTGTAAATTTCAGACCCTCCAGCAAGGTGGCACTTGTACTCTTGGATATTAATTCATGGGAAATTATTTACTAATTTTTAGAATAGTTTTCTTCATGGAAACTAAATATACAAATAAAAGTTCTTACTTAAATATTTTTTCTTCTCTCCCCCTCTTTTATGTATGGCCAGGTACACACAAACACACACACACACACACACACACACACACAAACACACACATATTTCTACTGTTTCATTAAACTGCTAAACACTGCAATCACTATTGCAGATTTGAAGACACTGAGAGTGTTTGTAAACAAAGATCAATGAAAATCCATGAAGAATAGATAACAGAAAGGCAATTAATTTTGTTATGTGAATCAGACAAAGAACATAAAGTGCACTCTTTCTCATAATCCTTTACTGGCTATTTCTAAAAGCAGACATCCTGCCCAAGGATATTCAGGTCTGTAAAAAAAACATCAAGAGAAGAGAAATAAAAATTAACCAATTATTCCTTCCCTTAAAATCTACATGCCAAGAACTGCAGATTATAGGGTGGAAGAGGAAGCCCATAGCATAAGCAATGAGTGTTTGATTTCTCTCTATCCAGCATGTATGTGCATGTATAACTTTCACCTAACACTTC